CGTGATTCCTCTAGGTTTTCCTCAAGGAACTGATGCTGAGTAAGCGGGGAGGGATAATAGGTGTAGGGGGTATAGAGAGGTAATAAAACGAGAAGAACCAAGAAAATCCAAGACCTACATACATCATGTTCTCGGATGCAAACACGACCCTCTTCCTCTAGCGACCAGATACGAACCCCAAGCTGCAGATCGGCTTTTCTGGCTATGACACTTTAAGGACGAGCTCCCCAAGTTTCTCTGTGCTGCCACCCTGCGATAGCACAGTACGATACTTTCACAAAGGCTACACTTCAAAGCGCCGAAGATGGAGGGGCTAGCGTCTGGCACTTCCAGTGTTCAAGCCCTTTGCACTATCTGAATATCCTCTACAAACCTTTGTGAGGGTCGCATTTTTTATAATATCCCATTTGGGTTATATATAGTTTCAGGTTCATTTACGCAAATTGGCGGATGAGGACCAAGAATACGAGTTCAAGGGCAACGAAGGTCAGATAATGGGACCCTTCCGTTCCACAAAAGACGGCACTCCTCTCGACTCATTACTATCGATAATTATATCATGTCGAACCATCCAATTTGGAAGAGTCGAGCTGTAGTTTTCAAGACCTGTGAATTGATTTGAGGTTGAGACCTTATTTTCCTTCGGCTTTTCTTTATTTTCCATCGATCCTTCATTCTTTTTATCGATGAGGCAAATACATGCTTGTGGGGGAAATGGGCGTGTTGAACATAGCGCTGACATTGACACACCTGTTCGGCTGTTTGAAACCCCGAGAACACCGCTAGATCAATAATGATCGCAACCTGCACCGAATAGGTGACGACACAGCGCCAGGCATAGAGTATAGTGACAGCGGCTAGAGAGAGACAAGACGGAGGCGTCACCGGTCGGAGTGAAATTGTCGAAGGAGGGCGAAACACTCATGTACCATTCACCAAGACAAACTCACCCCGATAGAAATCGTGTCCTCGGACGGAAATTTGGGCAAAAATCGATCGCCATTTTTTTCTTCGGTCTTGTTGAGAGGTCGTATACGGCAGAAGACCTGAAAAGGAAGTACGTTAGATGAAAAGAAAACTGCTGAGAAAGTGCAAAGAAAAATGGATGAACGAGGAATTAGATGACGGCGCTAACGTGGTGGGGCGAGAGGGTAGAGGAGGGGACCACTCGTTGGCGCCTCAATATCCTTCCCCTAATCAAGGCTTAGGTTAAGTGAGATTATGTCGTTTCTGCGGGACTATCTCTCAGTAACTGTGGTCATCTGCTCTCTGAGCCTATGCTTTTTTAGGGGCAGGATAGAAAAGGTCCCTCCACTAATTTACGGCAGCACCTAGCTGTCCTAAGCAAAAATAATGCAGAACTGGCCCTAATAATCCTTTTTCCTCATTTGTGAGGCTTTCGTAGAATGCGCTGACTACCCTTGGATATTTATTTTCAAGTGATAGCAGCGATACTCACTCAGGAGGCATCCAAGCAGTCTTCCCTACGATCCTTAACCTATCCGTGACATCTCATCACTTTGTGAGCACTATGTGTCTCGGGAAGGGCCACTCTTCAAGAAGGCTCAACTACGTCCCGATGTCAGGTGGGGGGGGATGCCGGTAGAGGTAAATCTTTGGAACATTTGCACTGCCTCGGTGAAAAGGCGTATATGAGCAGATATGACGCGGCTCAACCTCGCGAATTATGACCCCGGTCCCAGAGAAAAGGCCGTTTTGTTTGGGCTCGAGTAATTTCGAACAGTTGTGATTTGCTTCATCACTGTAACAAAAAGATGCCACAGTTTTCTCTGTCGAAAGATTTCCAGCGCTATGCGCCTTGGGAGGGACAAGCTCCAGCTGGTCTAATTTGGGTCATGTTCTTGTTCTAATGAGAAGAAGTCACGCCAGTCTGTTTAAGAGGGAGGAACATGTTTCGACATTGACCAAGTTTTCCCAGTACATGTAGGGTGTATCTTGGTAGGAGGGTGCAGACATTCAGGCCTCAGGGCATCTGCCGACCGTGAAGCTTCTCTCCCTCTGCTCGGTCAGAAGATGCTATGAAAAAATACCTCTGGACCCTCGCAGCGAGAGGGTATCCGGTTTAAAGAAGTCCTGTTACCGCTGCAGGGTGGGCCCCTCCCGGGGTATGCACCGCTGTATTTCCTGCCGATTCTGATTAGTTTCCTACCCCCGCTGTTATCTAGCGTCAGAGAAAATAGGGTAAATGCAAACGAAATATTGACCTGCACGCCGCACTCTGCTGGTCCATCGGCCATCTTGCTACCGTGCCCGGTCTATCTACCCTGAAATATGAAATGAGAGGGTAAAAATTAACCACTATTTTGCACAATGAAAACGTAATATGTAAGAATCTATGCAGACAGCTAAGCATAGCAGCGTGTAAGAGAACGAATGAGTCCGATTCCAAGAATCAAACGCCCAGCGCTATCTAGGGAGCAAATTCCACTGAACAAAAACCACCAGACAAACTCGGTGAAAGCTTAAAATTGGACTCGATGCGTGAAAAGGATAGAGATAACGGCTTTGTGACGACGAGGGGAGTGCATGGATATAACAAGCATGCGGCCATTGCGAAACCCTCGTCGTCCGTCTATCGATTCCCAGAGCCACCATCACCACCGCAGACAGCCGGCCATTCATTCGGACTCAGCTCCTTCCCTCTATGAAACACGAGAACGATGAAATTAGAGAAGAAAAACCGTCTAGCAATGTCATAGAAACGGGAAAGCTAGTACATTTGTAAAAATAACGTGAGTTCTCGGGTAAAAAAAAGGAAAATTGTACAAAAGTTTGTTTCATGGGGGAAAAAACCACTGTCCGTTTATGGGGAAAAGTGCGGAATGCCCATTCAATATATTTCTATCCGATCGGGGTATAATAAATGTGGCCCATTCAAAGACAAATTGCCATCGATCGATGCTGAACAATGGCTTAAATGTCAGTACGATCCATTGATGGAGAGATGACAAAGGAATTCCCATCCTCTCATAGGTAGAGCCGCGTTCATACCTGGCGACTGTGAGAATTGAGGACGAAAATTGAGGTCCTGCGAAGAAGAATATATACGTATAGATTTTCTGCGCAATTCATCACCTTGCAGATTTCTCAACTATTCCATCGATACGTATACATTATTATTCGCGATTTCTTTAATTCGTCAATTCATTCAAAAGGCATGAACGTGGCCTAACGTTGACATTATAAAGTTCATTACCTTGTCGTTACATCTGAATAGATAACTATGCAGTGGAAGACTAGGCGAGGAAAAAGGACATAAAAATTCATTCACTGAAAAGCTAAGCGAGGAAAAAAGACGAAGAAATAGCAAAATTAAGCAATTTTAGGTTGAAAGCGCCGCCAACACCAATCAATATGACCCAGACCTGGCAAGTAAAGGCTGAAGAACGGGAGTGGGAATTGTAAGCATAATACTTCAATTTGTATTAAACTAGACAACAAGGAAAGAGTAGTTCGAAAGGTTGGAATAAATTAAGTAAGAGTGCGTTCACACTTGGCGCCAGCTTTTCCAGCGATAATCGATACCTGTATAGTTTCTTTTTGTAGCAAAAAGTAAAGCTATAAGCAAAACAGATGGCTCAGGGGGAAATGTGCAACAATTATGGCTAGTCTTACTTGTGTCAAAAGGAACTTGCACGGGCACCGACTGTTAAAAGAATGAATCATACACTTCTCCGAATGACTACTGGTGGATACAATTGTTATCAAGATCAGAAAACAAAAAAAAAACTACTGGAAAGGCAGAAGTGGATGTAATGGATGGATACACTA